ATGGTGGTAAGTTATATGGTACAAGTAAAACGGGCCATATGCTATAAGAAACTTTTGAATTTGTGAAAGACTGGAAACCATCACTTGCAAGACCGAGCCTAACATTTCGGGGCTCTTCGGTAAAGCTTTCATGTAGCTCATTAAAGTTTTTCCAAGCCTTAGAGTCAGCTGGATGTCTCATCACTCCGTCCTCAGCTTGTCTTTCATGGTGTCATCTCATATCAGAAGCTGTCTTCGAAGACATGTAAAGCCTTTGCAATCGTGGCTTAAGAGGAAAATATCGCAATGTCTTTTGTGGTATTTTTTTACCATTTGCCTTTCGCTTGATCTCTTTTCCATGTTTATCAAGTTTCCATCTAGAAGCACCACATCTCTTATCAGAAGCTGTCTTCGAAGACATGTAAAGCCTTTGCAATCGTGGCTTAAGAGGAAAATATCGCAATGTCTTTTGTGGTATTTTTTTACCATTTGCCTTTCGCTTGATCTCTTTTCCATGTTTATCAAGTTTCCATCTAGAAGCACCACATCTCTGACACGTATCAAGACCTTCTTCATTTTTCCAAAACAGCATGCAAGAGAATGGACACGAATCAATTTTTTCATATGATAGGCCAAGGTCTCGGATTAATTTTTTGGCCTCGTCATACGAATTAGGCAGTGTTGATTCCCCTGGCAATAGCTCCTCATTCAAAAACTGGAGCAACATTGAGAATGATTTATTACTCCACCTATTTAGGCTCTTTATGTGAAGTAATTTCACTAAAGCAGATAACTTTGAACATTTAGAGCCTTCATACAAAGGTTTCTCGGAGTCACCTAAAAGACTGTAGAATTGTTTTGCATGTCCATCTGGTTCCTGCTCAAGAATATCCTGACTCGACGTGGCATCAGGTGCAACAACGCCAGTTGAATTATGAAATAAATCTCCAATCATTTCTTGCATTTCATCGTCACTCTGGCTTTCTTCTATCATTTCTTCTTGTTCTTCATCAAACTCCGAAATGGACTCACCCTGTCTTTCGCCGTGATGACACCAAAATCTGTAGTTTTTAATAATTCCATGAACAATCAAGTGGGTCTTTACCGACTCACGATTACCAGACTTCACATTGCTGCATTTAACACATGGACATCGAATTTCAAAGTCTTCATCCTTTTCATTAAAACTATCCAACAGCTTCTCATATGCATAGTCTAAAAACTGATCAACCCCTTCTTTATATTTTGGATCAAGTCTATCATCATCTACTAGGTCCATCCAATCTTTATTCGGCGCCATTTCAAGCAATGTACTAAAATTTCCTGAAAAATATTTCAACCTCTTCAAAAACTAAACACAAATAAATGCTTAATTTTATGTAGAGACTCATATGTTCAGATATATGGTCATTCTAATGCAAAGAAGTTAACCTATATATGGTGTCATTCAGAAAGTATTTATTTATGCAATTATAGGGTCAATTTAAAGGCAAAAATACTACCATATAACAAATTAGTAAATAGAACAAATTAGTAAAAAAAAACTCATTTTCCTTTCAAAGCACATGTGACATAGGAACTATGATTATAACTAACAAAATGACTTGTTAATGGAAAGTGGTATGTCCAAGCTTGACAAGTACATCTGAATAGCTAAAGAAATAATCATTTAAAATTCATTTAACTTAAGTAAATACCACACATTTATAGGGTATATAATTGCAACATGTATAGGGTATATAATTGCAACATGTATAGGGTATATAATTGCAACATGTATAGGGTACTTTAAGCCAATATAATTGCAACATGTATATAATGATGGTCAACTGGTCTCTTCACTAATTTTGGTCGTTAAATACTAGATTTCTTGTAGCGATGAACATTTGAGTGAGCAGTCAAAAGAGCGGGGATTGAGTAAGGATTTGGACAACACGTGAAAGTGGAGATGTAGACGGAGTACGTGAATAATAGAAATATCATAGTTTTAAGAATAAAGAACTTTTGAATACTATCTTGTCTGCCATTGGAATTCTCCAAATCTAGATAATGATCATGATGACCAATGCTTGTCAATTTGTTCCAATAATTTCCTTAAGCAATTACTTATCGGTGGGATTGGTATAAGTTTTTAAACAATCATATAAATATTTTTTTATAGGAAGAATAGAATCAAAACTTATTTGCAAATTCATAAATGTTTTTTGCTTTAATTGTTACAAGGGGGTACTTAAGTGCAAAGTAGTTGAAACTATAGGGTCTGTACTAAAATCAAACAGTAACTGCAAAAATTACCTTCGAGGAATCAATTTAGCAAATTCATAAATATTTTTAAACAATCATATAAATGTTTTAAGAAATAAGAGACCGTAACTGAACAAGTTTTTAAACAATCATATAAATATTTTTTGATGGAAAGAATAGAATCAACACCTATTTGCAAATTCATAAATCTTTTTGGCTTTAATTGTTACAAGGGGTACTTAAGTGCAATCTAGTTTAAAGTATAGGGTGTGTACTAAAATCAAACAGTAACTGAACAAGTTACCGTACGTCGAGCCGCGCGATGGAGGAAGAGTTCTCGACGACGGCGCTGGGGCGGCGATGGCGCTGGGGCGGCGATGGCGCTGGGGCGACGACGACGCTGGGCGGTTCTGTGGCGTTGCTCGACGGCTACGAGATCTCGACGACGAGATCTGCAGACGAACTGAAGACGTACGACGACTCGAGACCACGACGAACTGTTGGCGGTGGGAAGAGGTGGCGCTGGCGATTCTTTCAACGTGAACGAAAAAAAATTAGGGTTTCGGCTTTATAAGTAATCCTCGTTGGTTTGGGTTTCAAATTATGAGAGGAGATTGTGCTTATCGGGTTGTTTGGGTTTCAATTCGGTGCTTAATTTATATTAATTTTGGTTAGTTGGTTGTTTGGGTTAGTGGCCTGTTATGATTAGGATTAGGAGTTATTAATGAAGGTAATAGACTCCTTCGCCTTTTAGGAAGCCCAATAACGACGGTATTAGAACCAAATTAACGAAGGGACTAGAAAACCGTTATCCCATCTCCTATCATTACTCTAATAATTGTGATAACTCGATGAAGGGCTTTAAAACCGTCGTTATTTTACACACATTAATGACGGTTAACTGGTCCCTTCACTTATTTTGGTCGTTAAATACCGGATTTCTTGTAGTGGGTATTTATAGCCTCCAAAGACCTCAGCCAAAAACCCCAAACAAAAGACCAAAAAGCCCTAACCAACGGCTACAAGAAAATAGCCGTTAGGATGGAAAAGACAGCATGGCGGTCGACCGTTACGTTCTCGCGGTCGACCGTGAGGCATATGCAAAGCTGAGTAACTTCCATAGAGTTTGGCGGTCGACCGTGGCGGTCGATCGCAGATACTGTAGCACTGTATATCAGCTTTTTAAAATCAATTAAAAATAGTAAATCAACTCCAAAAATAATGAAATTTTGTGGAAAAGTTTTAGACATGTAGAATGACATGTTAGAGAGAGAATTTCTGAAAAATAGTTTCCCAGTTGAGAGAAATAAATGTTTGAACATAGATATATAGTTTCTGAAAATCTGCAAACATACACAATTTTGTAAAATTAATTGGGCATAGTAAAACAACTCCAAAAATGGTAAAACTTTAAGGTAAGTTTCTAAACATGTAGATAAACATGTTAGAGAAAGAATTTCTTAAATATCACTTCCCATTTGTGAAAACTAATCTGTTTTGTAAAAACATGCACGAACATGCACAAACGAAAAACATGATTTTGTAAATTCAATTAAACGTAACAAATCAATTTTAAACTTGATGAAACTTTGAGAAATGTTTAAAAATGTGATTTTGAACATGTTACAAAAAAAATTCTCAAATTGAATTTTTATTTGTGAAAACTCATGTATTTTGTAAAACTTATAAATACATGTGTACATAAACAACTTTACTGTGTGTATATATGATTGAGCTTAAAGTACTAACACACATAATATAAAACCTAAACTAAATATACCCAAGATTGATTTATCTTCGATGTAGCACAATTTGGTATACTTACGGATGAAGCTTGAACTTGGATCTTTAATTTGAATTGCATAGGCTTCACTCCACAATTCAGCCAAAATCCATTTGATATGATCGTGAATGCTCGATTCCATCCATCCTCCAACATGTTGTTTGTCTATAATAAATAGAATTATACAAACACTAGATAAACAATATTAGAAGTAAATTGTTTATTAAATATCATTAAAATAAGAAGGCCAGCATTTGATTGATAAATCAAAGGCTAAGATCTCTTTATTAGTAGAGGACCCATTAGTAGAGGATCCCAATCCCTTTTATATGGGGTAGATTATACAGAAACCCTATGAATTTTAGGTGGCAAAGATCTCGTTGGATTACGGTGTGTTTGGTTCACTAGTGCGCAAGAATATGATTAGGAATCCGGTTTTTTTTATGGATTTCTACCTATTTCATAAAAAAATTTAAGACAAAGTTTATTGATTTATGGAATCCTTTTTTTTCTATGTTTGTTTCATAACATGAAAAAATAAAATCTAACTTTATAAAAACCCTCTAATTCCTAATCTTTAGTTTGGTTTGGAATGAGAAGATTTTCGGATAAAGGGTGAGTACACCATAAGTATTCTTACCCGTTTGATAATATTCAAAACTGTAGGCTGTCTAAAAATTACTGCAGGTAGCTGATCCCTACCAAACACTGATGATTCAAGTTATAACCTGACAACTTTCACATTCCAAGGAGCCAAGACAGAAATTATAATATGACGATCTTCGCAATACTCTAAAGAGATTATGAGTCAATAGTATCTTCGATTCAAGACGCAAAGCTCACATTTGCGTCCCAAAAGCCAAACACAGAGCTCGTGCCGCGTTCCAGACTCAAAACGCAGTGGCTTTGTTCCAGACTCCAAACGCAGAGCTCACATCTGCGTTCTAAGAGCAAAATACAGAGTTCACCACTGCGTTTTCATCCCCAAACACAGAACTCAACTCTGCATCCCAAGCTTAAGACACAGAGTTCATTTCTAGAACACGCACTTTGTGTTTGACTGGTTCAAACGGAACATGAACGGTTTTAAAACCGTTTCTCCACTTAAGGGGGTCGGTTACACCCAATTATGGAGAGATTTATGGGGGGCGGTTACAACCCATTAACTCTCCATTAAAGAGCAAATTAAGGGGGTGATTACTCTCCTTAAATGCCTATAAATACCTAAAAACCAGCTTAAAAAATATTTTTGGCAGATCAAGATGATATCAGAAGAATGCCCCCAAAAGTTTCGACCGTCCCGCATAGGCGTGAGTTCCGAAGCCTGACACTTTCTTTTGGTTTTCTGACTCTTCCGGGGTTTATATTTTCCACCGTTTTACGTGTTTGACCATATTGTTGACTTGCATGCTTCGTCGCGGGATTGACTGCCGAACGCGTGTTGGTTGATATACACGCGTGTTGATTGATGCGCACGTATTGACCGACGCGCACGAACTGATTGACGCGCGAACTGATAGACATGCACGCGTTGATTGATGCGCGCATGTTGATTGACGCTCACAAACTGATTGACGCGCACGTGTTGATTGATGTGCGCGTGCCACTTGGTTCGTCGTTTCACTTCATGCGCTTGTCGACGACAGATAATCCTCTTAGACTCGGATAACGACGTTCATCATCTTCTCTCCCTCTCGAGCTGTGTGTGGATACCCATAGGCATTTTTAGACTCCTACACAGGCCATCAACATATTTGGGCCAACAAATATCAACACTATCTTTTAGTCTGAGCACGTGAACCTCACTATCTATTTATCTAGGACGCAGTTTGATGCAAACTATTAGTCATGACTATGTGTCAGATTAAAAAATATCAAAATTTACTCAGTAAATTACATTCAATCAACAAAAGAACGACATTTTAACTAAATCAAGTAAATCCTAATATATAAAACGTTTTTCTAATAGTTGTCGATGGACACTCATTAGGAGATATGAGAGATAGAGAGTATTACTTCCTGTCAAACATGATTGAGATTGCTATAGACGAAAGCAAAAATAACATAGTAAGAAAATTGCAAGTTTATGTTGGAAAACAGATTCCTAATCTATTTTGGTAACATGAGGTTATTAGGATTCCTATTCTATTTTGGTAATAGGTTATTATGATTCCTAATTTGATTTGGTTTTGGTTTAGAATTTCTAGTATGTTTATGATTTTAGGATTTCTATATATATGGAACAATTGGAAGAGAGAATTGGGAGAAGAAAA